ATATGTATAAAAACTGTTTCAAAGAACAAGCTGTGCTCTAAAGAAATGCATTCAGGATACATTAAACCAAGAAATAAAATTTTTTTAGCAAGCACATTATAGTCATATTTTTTAATGAATTGGTCATATCCCTGACTGGCCGCTTACTGGGAAGAAAACGGGAGACAACATGCCATGCTTGCCACAGCTGAATGTCGCCTATGCCCTTAAAATAAGATACCCCTGGCTCATAGCACGGATCTGGAGGTAAGCGCCTCACAATTAATTTTATGTAAAGAATAATGTCAGAAATTGTCCCATCAAGAAAATGTAAGAAAGACCAATTTTCCAACGACTACAAACTTTTCTTCCGTCATTTTTCTTTAAAAAAAACAAGAGACTATACGCTGTGTATGCTGCATATTTGAAGATGTTGCCTTCATAAGCAAGGCATTTGTGGCTGATTACGTCGAAACGAATATTAGTCCCATACCAGAAGGTTCATTAAAGAAAGATATCACAGACAACTTCATTATGGAAATATGAGAAAGATACATCCCAACTGTTACAGGCTTTACTTTCGTCGTTTTGCTATAAGAAACTAGCAACGGGAAACAGAACACGGAGATTTCTGAATCAGTGGACAGATTAGGGGTGATATGCTGGATATCAGTAATCCTGACATCGAACATAAGCAGCAGGCGTTTGGCAGTAATGTACTCTACGGTTTAGCGTTCATGGTCGCAACTGCACACCCATTCGGTTTCATCTTCCAAATATGGTCTTGCTCACTGTGAATCAAAGCTCATTTTCCTTAGAGTCCGAAATCTCTGATAAGATACAATGTAAATCAGATAGATATGTACCTTAAAACATTTTTCCACAAGAAAGAAAAACAAAAGTTCGTAACCATTGGGATTTCAGTTTCTCTAGCACTTTCATGATTTGGTTACGCCTGTAGCACTCATTCATGCTGATCGTCATTTAAAAAGGAGTTCTTGCTAATTATTGTCCATCTACAGCTAGGTAACCACTACTGTATGTAGTATTCCACCCCTTGCTAATTTTATCTGTTCTATCATCCCTGAGGACCGATATCTGACCATGGACACCGAAGTTGTGAAAATGATGCTAGCACATCCGTATCTTGGGAGTACAATGGCTGCAGCCGGACGAGTAATAAAGGAAGTTAAGAAGCGCTGTTAAACAAGTAATTCTAGCTCTGTGTGGACGAAGATTCTGACACCAAGAGGCAGATTTGTATGGCTTGAATTCTGAAAATCTTGCTCGATGGCTTGGAAACGGCAGAAGTTAACAAAGCCGAAAACAGAAACATCTAAACGACAGAAATGAAGATTTTAAAATCAATATTAGGACTGAGGCAGCACCAACTGGTGTCGAATGTTGTTGTATGTGACAAATTAGAATATTCGCCTAAGGTGATCTACTGATCGCAAACAAGTTGCCTAAGACAGTAGGCTCATTGCCAGCGAATCGACGATAGCCCTTTGCAATGCAAGTTCTAAACACAAAGCCTGATGGCAGGAGGGCGACAGGACGGCCTCGAATACGATGCGAAGATTTCGCTAGAAATGACATGACATTGAAAGGACTGGAAAATGAGCAAGCATTTATCCGGTCCAGGTGGAACGCTTCAACGTTACTGCGTGGAACGATGAAAGACGAGTGATTCGAAATGATGCGACTAACTCGACTCAGAGGTCACTTTTTCTACAAGTACCAAAAGCCGCCAAGACGGTCACGTTGAATTTTGAAATATATATCATCTTGTGATTGCTACAGCTGGTGCAAACAAATGGAATCTCAAAAAATTTATAATATCGATGAAAGGAAAGAAAATTTGTAACCGTCGGAATATCGATGTTCCTTACTCTTTCACGATCAGGCAAAATCCAGCGCCCTTATTTTCATGAAATTTAACGGTCAGAGCGCTGATCTGTATTTAAATGTGATCAGCCAGAAATGATTTAATTTTAAAGGAAATTTCAACATCAGTCATATGACAAGTATAGTCTATATTCTTTTGTTCCGTTCCCACTCACATAAAAACGTAGGAAGCAAGAAAGACAGGTGACTACGATTGCAACTCGAACCCACCACCTTCTGATTATGAGTTCTGATTATCTAACGACCGAGTAACCGCAGTCTGAAACAAAATGCGGTAAATTCCTTGCTTAAGGGAATTTTTTATAAAGAAAAATCACTCGTCGAGGGAATCGAATTTGGTACCTCCGGAATTCGATTTCGAAATCGACCTCTTATGAACTGTACCATTAAGTCACTTACCTCAGTGACGCAGATTGCGGTACAAACGAGGAAGGGTGACAAAGCGAAACATAACGAAGAAAATAAAAACAAGACAAACGTTGCTAATCAAATAAAGCTTAAGAATAGTTACCGGAGATGACGATGCAGCTGTCCTCGCCTTTCTGCTTCATGCACTTGTAAGCGGCATCGGCAATGGCAAAGATATGCGGGGGACGTTCGTAGATCTCGCGGCCGCGGTAGTTCCTGACCTGCTCCGCGTCATAGATGGACATCATGCGGTATGGGTTGACAGACACCATCACCTCGCCGATGTACGTGTAGATCAAGTTTTGTGCGAACCTGAACAGAAAACAACCACAGTGGACGAC